TTTTTTTTTTTAAATCACATGTGCACTTAGGTAGACATCACCAGGGTATGGAGTGACACATCAGTGTGTCTAATGTTGTGGTTTATGTGCAAGTATACCATCAACACTGACAGAAATACTTTGCAATAGCTGTCCTATGTTGTGACCACTATGCATGAAGGGCACGGTCCCTCGCTATAACGTAGTTCACTCCCGTACAGAATTCATTCAGCTTTTCAAATTTACATAAATCTTCGATCGCTAGCAGTGTGACTCTGAAGTGCTGTAATGTTTGTACGTTTTCTCCCCAACAAACACAACAATGTCGAAAAAACGTTTTCCACCAACAAAGGGACCTGCAGGTGTCTTTGGTCTCATTCTATAATACTGGACTTATTTTTCTACAAAGGTTTGAACTTTGAGTGTTTAAACAAGAGAGAAAAGTGTGAAAATGTTCACGCCTGTCTGAGAAAAGTGTAAAAAGTGTGTAGTGGGGGGGGTTTTAAAGCCTTAAAACATCTATAATATAATAAAAAATAAAGTTGGCTACTTCGCAGATTTTATCTATCGCGGATAAACGAGGTACCACTGTAATATATATTCTCTATAGTGTTAGTTTTTTAATATAGGCTAATTTCCTGTTTCCTCTAAAATCTTTTTTTAGACGAAGTAACAATGGAGGAAGTGGGACAGACGACCCAGCTGCGGGCTGGGGAGCTCATCATCATCGTGGTGGTACTCATCATGTGGGCAGGTGAGGACAAACCTGTTCAGTAAACCAGGATCAGACGGCCTTTGTGTGGATTACACTCGATTTTCCCAATTTTCTGTAAACACAACACAAAATCCAGCTTTTAATGTTTAGACGATAACAATACCCAGATTTGTCCGATCATGAATGCCAACCATCTCTCCCCCAGGTGTGATCGCCCTCTTCTGTCGCCAGTATGACATAATCAAAGACAACGAGCCGAACAACAACAAGGACAAAGCCAAAAACTCCTCAGAGTGCAGCACTCCCGAGCATCCGACGGGGGGGCTGTTGCGCAGTAAGGTATAACCCACCCCCCTCCCCTCCTCCTCTCCCTGGGTGTCTCCCCCTCAGCGGCGCCGGGCAGGTGA